AAAGAGGAAGGGAATGTTATTACCATTATCACAAAAAAAAAGCCTTATAGACCTAAATAAGAGCGAAGTCGTACCTGGGCAAGCCGATGGACTACTGTACGGGCCCGCTTTCGGGGCTTACCCTCAAAACGCCAATTCTCGAAATCGGGCATGACTGAATAGAGATACTTAGCAAGAATGGTGGGATCGGTGTCTTTCCCAAAGTCGGAAAGAGTGGGCACGCTATCACCTAGGTCGGATGCTCGAGCAAGCTTGCGAGAATCGACTCCATCACGGTTAGGGGTTGGGTGAGTCGGACCAGACCACCCGGCGCCTGGAGAGGGGGTAGGACCGACTATCTGCTGGCCCGAACGGTCAGGGGTCGAAGCAGTTCGACCGGAGGAAGGATGCGCGTCGGCCTGCGATGAAGGATGGACCGATGAGTTAGTCGCGTGAGACCCGGCTCGATGCGAAGTAGACTGGCTCTGGCTCCGGGTATAAGTCGAGGGTCGCTCCGCTCCATCTAGGTTCGAAGGCCCATCGTTGCGCGCCCTTTTGGACTTAGCATGTTTCTGCTCCACAATAGATTGCTTGATGATTGAATTTGAAAAACAACGAGTAAAATGGATCAGCACAGGTATATGTATCTCACGGGTATAGCAACGAGTAATGGCGTGAATTCAAGAATAAACACGGTCGACCCACATGGCGTGGTCGACGCATGAGACCCAGTCGATCCGTACGACAAGGGTCGACCCACACGAACCGATCGACCCGCACGGTGGGCCGACGCACGAGACTCGGTTGACCCATGCGACGGGGGTCGACCCACTCGATCCGGTAGACCCAAATGAAGGTTTGACCCTTGACGCAGACAACCCGGTCGACCCAGGTTACGGGTTCGACCTACATGATCTGGTCGACCCATATGAAGGTCCGAACCTTGGCGCAGACAACCCGATCGACCCACGTAACGGGTTCGACCCACATGATCCGGTCCCATATGAGGGTTCGACCCTTGACGCAGACAACCCGGTCGACCCATGTGACGGGTTCGACCAGGTCGACCCACATGAAAGTTTGACCCTCAACCCATCAGGACGCACGGTTGACCCGGTCGATGATCGGTCAGCACGTTCAACTCCTGACCCACACAGCCCGTCGACCCGTGTGACAAGATCAACCCTCGGCCTGCGAGGATACATGGTCGACCAACGCGGCGACGCGTCGACCCACACGGTCCACAAAAAGCTACGTGAGTGACCCCGAAAAGGGTTCCCAAGGGTCGATTAGATCGACCCATACACAACACAACGACGTCGACTTTGTCGAACACCACATGAACAAACAACGACGTCAACTACGTGAGTGAACAACACAAGTATAAAAATAATAAGGATGTGTGGGCAAATAATAAGGCATCAAAGATTGGTACCTATGGGTTCAGAATGAGATGAGGTCTCGGTGGTCAAACCGGCATAATGTCGAAGGGTAACCGAATAGGTAAGGAGCACTATGTCGATGGGCTCTTTATTCCAATCTCGGACTAAAGGTCCCCAACGGGGGTGCCTCCTAGGCTTACATCGGGAGGAGAGTGGCTTATGTAGCCATTTGGAAGGAAATTCGAGGGTCTTGCGTGGAGGCCGGACAAAAAAGAACCGCTCCTTCCAGGAGGGAATGTTAGAAGGGAGCTTTAATATGAACTTGGCCCCGTTACGAGAACTAGTGTAGTGACATCCCATCTCGCCCCACTTTTGAAACCTTAGCCCGTAACAATAATAATAGAAATCGGGCTCCAATTGACCCAACCGATGGCAGCACAAGATAGAAAAGGCAATCATTGTCCGGATAGCGTTAAGTGGGAGTTGATTCAAACGAAACTCGAGCATCCCACATAAACGCAAAAGAGGCTCGAGACTGGAAAATCGAAGACCCGCCCCAACTTGATCCTTTAAGTAAGTATAACAATCGGGGGGCAGACGATCATACACATCGGTAGAAGCCGGTTTTACAAATTCACAACCGGAAGGAAACTCACAAAGATCCTTAAAATCGGCCGACATACGCGAGAAGGGGCTTGGCCTAGACCCGCGAGCGGCTAACAGGGGAGAGCCGGAGCCACTCGAATCGGTCGAATAAGAGCCGGAGCTAGCGGCAACAGTCGAGCGAGGGTTGTGACCATCCGAGCCGGTCGAAGGGGAACCGAGACCACCCGACTCGGCTGGAGGAGGGTCGCCCTTGCCCGACCAAACCAAAGACTTGCCGTGACCCGAAATCGAGTCGGGCACATCAAAAAATGAGGGAAGATCCTCAAGATCGAAAGGGACGTTGGGAAATGAGTCTCCAAACCTTTGGAGTTCATCCCACGTAAACATGCCCTTCTCCTCATCGACTAAATGAAAGGCATTGGTCTTGGAAGGGGAATCGAGAGGTACATCTACACAAGGGTACGAAAGGGAAGCTACATGAGGACCCTTAGACTAGAACCTTAACTCAAACCCGAAAATCAAACCAAGCAATCGGAAATAAGAAGGCTACGACGCACCAAGAATGACAAGAAGTTAAATAAATTAAGAGAGTCCAAAGAGTGTAACTCAAGCTCGGAAGGCGGCAATTCGGAAAGAAGTTAAACCCGATCTACGATGCACCATGATCGAGTGTAACTCGAGCTCGAAAGGCGGCAATTTGGAAAGAAGCAAACCGGGAACCGGGGTGTGAGCTTTGCGAGTGGCCGGCGGTCGGGTAATCTCGAAAAACCGGTCGAAACTCGGGTCGAGATATCCTACTTGACCGAAAAAAAAAAGAGAAAAGGGTGGAGAAATTTTGGAGGTAGGAAAACTTGAAGAGAGAAAGGAAAAAAATCTTGGGTGGAAAGAAGAAAGGGATTATTTGTGGGGAGAGAGAGAAAGTGATGGAGAGAGTGAGATGAATTTGAACCACAAAATATTGGTAGGTAAGAAGTGGTAGGTGGACATTACCTTAGAAAAAATGATCTTGGTCAAATATTGTATAAAGTCAAAACCGAGCCCTTTGGTCCATGAGATAACCGGTCATAAGACCGAACCGGTCAAAAGGATGCTCGATAATTATGCAAGGAGCGATAATAACTAATGGAAAGAGAGGTGATATCTAGGGCCAAGAGCATATGTGTATGACCCACCACATGTTTGCGATCAATCGAATGCTTATATTTACAACTATCCGAACTTCGTTTCGCATACTCGTAAATAGGGAAGAGTAGTTGATAGGGATAATAGTGTCGGCCCGGTCTTGTTAAACAAGGCCTATATAACTAAGTCAAGCGAACCAAAGTAGCGACCGAAGATATTGGGTAGACCATCTTAGAGCCTCGACCTATCGACCCAATAATCAAGGGTCTAACATTGGCCCGTCAACCCACTTAGCAGGTAAGTGCGCGGGACGTAGAGTCAACTCAACCCACTTATTACAAACACTGTTACATTCATTAGATATTACAATTCTCTTATTCTGAAATATTGACTTGGGCGTCGGAGGGTCTTGCGCCGGAGCAATTCCGGCGTATTTGCAGGTTCCGGCGAGCATTCAAGCTTAGATCAGACCGAGTTAGACGTATTCGCACCGCAACCGAGGAGAACCCTTCGAAAGACTGGAGTCACTTATCTCGGACCATATCAGTTATGTTTTTCATAACTTGAAAAACACTAAGAATATATTCCTATAATATCATTACTTAGTTAAATCCGTTTGCATGATTTCGTTACTTGAAAAAACAATAAGAATATATTCCTATGATTTAAAAGTTCCAACAATATATTCATATGCATTACATTTACAAATGAATATAACAGGTCCATTATATTAATTTGTGATGCATTATGCAACTTTTAATTTGAACCTGCTTCCTTCTCACGAAGTGGTATATGGTATTAGGAAAATTGTGGAAGGATTCTCAATCTATACTGATATGACACATAAGACAGCTAGGGTGAACTGGCTACGGTCAGTTCAGTTTGTAGACTGAAGACTAGCTAGATTGGTTGGTCTAAGAGTATGATGGCTCAGGTAGCTCGGATAGCTAGAGTACGTCTTTAGCTCGGATACTAAGGAGTTCGGACAAATAAGGTATATCTATAGCTTGGGCATTAAGAACCTCAAACAATTTAGGAATGACTAAAGCTCGGATATTAAAGAGCTCGGGCAAATAATGTTCTCCAACAACTTAAGCATATGATAGCTCGGGCATGATATCATGGCAGTTAGTTCGAATAGGAAATGGATCGACCAACATAAGTTGAGTTCAGGCTGTTAATAAAGGTCACATGTAGGGTCACAAATAAAAGAGATAGATGATCTGATGGATGAGAGTAGACCAAGTAACTGACGGATAGATCTACGGGTAGACCAAGTGTGCAGGTCTTCGCGCAGTAAAGCAGAACCAAGGGTTATGTAGGAAGCCAATAATCCTTTATAAGTAGGTAAAATTTGGAGAGTGTAAAGGTGAATCACACTTTATACACTCTAAGCTTTCAACATATTTTCATACAACTTTTCATATCACCTTACTGACTTGATTGTTGGTGGTTTAACATCGGGAACATCTCCTAGGAATTTGCAGGTCTCCAGGGAGCAAATCAGTCGAGGAATTGTGGAGTGCCAATTCGAGGTGCAATTGTACATCATATACATCTTGAGGCTCGAGTTGAGTTCACACTTTGATAAGATTGACATGCATCCCTTCTCGCCAACCGACCTATGATACTAGAAAAATGTCGGAAGGATTATAAGATCTAAACATTTTGATGCTCAAGTTAAGTTAACACATTGACAATCTCTCTGCAACTGTATAGGAGAGCTACATGCAAAGTGATACTAGGATTTCATATGTGTTGGAGTTGTATTCATAAAAAATAAATTACTTCCTCAAATATCAGGAAACAAATCTCACAAAATTTGGATGCTATTTGTCCTAGAAACGAGAAGAACACGATTCTTCAAGAAGGTCCTTTAAACCTATGATATTTGTCCTATCAAAACTATCGATCACAATGATTTGCTATCATTAATATATCAAACTCGAGTATAGTCAAGTCATCCAAAAACTCCATCTTAATGTTAACAACCACTAAGATAACTTACTATATCACTGAAAATCGAGATTACCACCAAGTTGAAGAACCATGTTCAGTACAAGCTGATTAGTTGGCTATATCAATTTGGCACATTTTTCATCATGTAAATAACACTAAGAATAATTCAAAGAATACTTTTCAAAATAAATCAAGAATATTGATTATTTTTTTATTAGAGAAAAAAAAAAGTGCCACCCCACAACCACTAGACTAGGTAACCTATAACCCCCCAGACATTAAATTTCATTCACATGCCATCAAAATTTTACCATATGGTTATGCTAAGGTGTATATGCCCATAACATGTGATAAATACATGTATGGATATGTTCCAAAAGTGATGAGAGATTTAAGGCACAAAAAGTATGTTAGGGATTGTTCATTAGTAGGGGTACTACATATAAATAACCCATAGTAGTGGCAAGTGGTAGAGCTCAAGCAAAAGTAGAGCCATGTCTTTATTAGCTAAATAAACTATGAGGGAGAAAAAGAGGAAAAAAAAGGAAAAATAAAAGAATAGAAAAGATCCCTTCTAGGCAAGGCAAAAAACACACACACTAGGCCTCGTTAGACCTTATATATCCTCTAGTACTATAAACTCATCCTCACCTCAATAAACACATCACTCATTACTCAACTCANCACTACGAAAGATTTCCCTTATTCCCTATTTCAATTTCACCATTTTCAATTTATAATAATTGTCAGAGAGGAAAAAATAAAAAACACAAAAAACAAGAAATGGTGAGCAAAAAGCCAAGAATCGTCATAATCGGCGCCGGCGTCGCTGGGCTCACGGCGGCCAGCAAGCTCCACGCCTTCCCCAAATCGAGGCAGCTCTTCGAGCTCACGGTGGTTGAAGGCGGCGACCGGATTGGCGGACGGGTTAGTACCGCGTCGTTCTGCGGCGACCGGATCGAGCAGGGCGCCACCTGGATCCACGGCATCGACGGCAGCCCCGTCTACGATATTGCCCGCCAAACGAACTCTCTTCACTCCGACCAGCCCTGGGAGTGTATGGATGGCCCCACCCACACTCCCCTTACCGCCGCCGAGGGCGGCCACATCTTGGGCCCCTCCTTCGTCAACCCCATCTCCGACCTCTTCGAAGATCTCATGGATTTCGTCCAGGGAAAGCCGGCCTCCGGCGGCGGCGCCGCTGTCCGCGGCGACGAGGTGCTGAAGCACTGCGCCGCCGCCGCCTCCGGCGGCGGCAACCTGAGCGTAGGCGCTTTCCTGCAAAAGGGGCTCGAGACCTACTGGGCGGCCGACGGCCGCGGCGACGAAGACGGGCTAGTCGGAAATTGGAGCCGGAGGTCCCTCCAGCGGGCGGCCTTCGCGATGCACGAAGGGATACAGAGGACGTTCACCTCGGCCGACGACCTCCGCAAGCTGGACTACAATGCCGAGAAGGACTACGTCATGTTCCCGGGGGAGGAGATCACCATCGCCAGAGGCTACTCCAGCGTCGTCGACTCCCTCGCCTACGCCCTCCCGGCCGGAATGATCCAGCTGGGCCGCCGGGTCGACGCGATCGAGTGGCGGGCCGGTCCGGCCATCAGCCTCGAGGACCGGCCCGTGAAGATCCGGTTCGCGGACGGGTCGGCCGTCACCGCCGACCACGTCATCGTCACTGTCTCCCTCGGCGTCCTGAAACAGGGGATCGCCGGAGACTGCAGCCTCTTCAGCCCCCCGCTGCCGGATTTCAAAACCCGGGCCATCTCCCGCCTCGGCTACGGTGTGGTCGACAAGGTCTTCCTGAAGCTAGGCCCCGAAATCGACGTCGACGGCTCCGGCGCCGCGGGCTTCCCTTACCTTCAGATGCTCTTCCACCCGCCGGATTCCGAGCTCCGGAGCCCCGAAATCCCCGAGTGGATCCGGAAAACGTCGTTCCTAAACCCGATCTACGGCGGGGCCCGGGTGGTGGTGTCGTGGTTCACCGGCCCGGAGGCCCTAAAGCTCGAGTCCCTCGACGAGGACGAGATTATCAGCGGCTTCGAAGCCACCGTGTCGAACCTTCTGCCGGCGGCGAGACTGAAACCCTCATCGTGCAACGGGAACGGGAATATTCCGGCGGGTAACCGGTTGAAGTTCGAGAGGGTGTTGAGGACTCAATGGGGGAGCAATCCCCTGTTTCTCGGGTCGTACAGCTACGTTGCGGTGGGGTCGAGCATAGACGATATGGACACGCTGGCAGAGCCGCTGCCAAAGATGGACGGCCGAGATGGGTCGGAGGCACCGCTGCTGCAGATTCTGTTCGCCGGTGAAGCCACGCACAGGACGCATTACTCCACAACGCACGGGGCGTATTTTAGCGGGCTTAGGGAAGCCAATAGGCTTCTGAAACACTATAATTATAATGTGGCCTTATGAATTGAGAAGCGGGGAGTATTTATTGTTAATTTGCAGTAATAGAGATTTTTAGTCAGGGCTTTTAATTTATTTTTCTTTTTTTTTTTATGGTTGGGGAAAATGTGCTTATTATTTTCTAAATTTAATTTGGGAGATATCTCTGTTAAGATTGATGATATAATGTTGAATGATATAATGTTTTTAGGGGGTGGAATGAAAGGGAGAGATTTGGACTTGTTTGAGATGTGGTGAGTGATAATTAAAGAAGAAGAAGAATCTTTCTAGTGTAGATTTTCTATATGCTGTTTTTCTTTATTTTTCTGTTTTTGTGTTTTTTGATTGTGAAGTTTGTGGTAAATTATGTGCGAGTGTCTTGAATGTTGAGAGCGAACAAGACAAGTTATTTGTTTGTGCAAGGCAATTGATACTGAGGTTCAAAGTTCAAACACATAAAAGGTAAAATACAGATTTTTTTATTTTTTTTTTCTAACAAAATTATTGATTGAACTTTGATAGCCTCTGCTTTTTAGTCGGACATGATCCGGAAAAGCCGGATAGACCCAGCTGCCATTTTTTTTCTTCTACATTCTGCTGAAAATAGGGCTCTCTATCGTGCCCTCTTTATTCTTTTATTTTTATAGGCTGTTGTGTTATCTGAACTTTATGAGGGATGGAGTAGGGGTGCAAATTAAGCGAGCAGCCCGCACTTGAGTCAATGTCGACTTGAGTTCAGTCAAACTCGAGCTCAAGCAGTTTAATCAAGCAAACAAGAGCATCTGGCCTCATTTCAACAAACCAAATTCGAACAACAAATCAAGTTTTTTATCAAACAAGTCGAGTCGAACGTGTTCGGAATAATTCAGTTGGAGTTTGGATTTTGGTCTAGGTTTTTAAGTTTATTAAATGGCTTGAACTGAGTTTATACGAGTCGCGCGAACTCAAGCTAAAATTTTTATTTGTTTATTAAACGAGCTGAGCTACGACAGCTCATTTATTAAATGAGCATGAATTCGAACTTGAAATACTCAATTCGAAAAATCTAAATAGACATGTTGACAACATTTTTCGTCATTCTTTCCCCCGGTAGGTTCCTTTGTCTTGTCGGGATGCCGGCCCCCGGTAAGGCAAAAGATCATACTTGCTATGAACTCCACCTTACGCTCAGGGTACATGATTCGAGTCTGCGGAAAGGCAAAAAACCACAGAATGCCCCAAGATGGGTTTTCACCTTAGGGCAGGAGCACGGTAGAAGACTGTGAGTCCCCGGTGCATGGTCAATGACTCACCAGGGGCTGGCACCCCGGCAAGGCAAGAACCTACCGATGGAAAGGTTGACGAAAAATGTCGTCAACAAAATAAGGGCTGACTTGCCATGAACTCCACCTTATGCTCAGGGTGCAAGGTTCGAGTCTAGGGGAGGGGAAAACACCACAGAATGCCCCAAGATGGGTTTTCACCCTAGAGCAGCAACACTGTAGAAGACCGTGAGTCCCCGGTGCATGGTCAATGGCTCATTGGAGGCCGGCACCCCGGCAAGGCAAGAACCTACCCGGGGAAAAGCTGACGAAAAATATCGTCAACACATTGCAAATGTTTTTTCTTCTTCTTCTTCAATATTTTGAACTACTTTGTTAGAATATACACTTGTGAGTTGTCCCACATCGTTTATACATGGAAAATAGACCTAACTTATAAGTCTAGTGGACTACTTCTCATTCCACCAATTGGATTTGGGATGGAACCTCACTTGGGCTTTATCTGGGCTTCCCCGTCTCTTACATGGTATTAGAGCCAGGTTCTATCGGGATCTATCGAGGACCGTGAGCCGGTTCTATCTGGATCTATCTGGGATTGTGCGATGACGTACCCGCCACCCAGCCCAATTAGACTTGGGCTATTCACAAGTGAGGGGGCGTGTTAGAATATACATATGTGAATTGTCTCACATCGTTTATACATGAAAAATAGACCTTAACTTATAAGTCTAGTGGGTTACTCCTCCTTCCACCAATTGGTTTTGAGATGGAACATCATTTGGGCTTTATCTGAGCTTCCTCGTTTCTTACATACTTGATTAGTTGAGTTATTATTATTTTTTTTCCTTTGAACTATTTTGAGCTACTTAATTTGTTGAGTTATTTTTAATTTTTGTGAGGCACCACTTTGATATTCTTTCATATAAAACAAAATATTTTGAGCTACCTAAAAGCGTGGAATCAAAAGTTGTTGGCACGTACACTATGGAATATACATGCCAAGAAAGACACTTTGTGGTACCGTTGGATTCATCATGTCTATCTAAGGGCAAAAGTCCGTTTGGGAATGGACTATCCACAAGAGTGATTCGCCTCTTTTCAAGAACCTCTATGATATTCGGATTCTAATGGTTGAAAAGTTGGGTAGTATGCAAGCCGTCGAGGCCACTCTAAATCTTTGGGATTCCAAATCCCGCTCCAAGGGGCACTCATGCGTTTACAAATTCTTTCGGTCCAAAGGTTCACCCGTCCCTTGGAAGGGAGTGGTTTAGGAGCCCGCCAATACCCCCAAACACGCCTTCATCCTTTGGCTTGCAACGCTCTGGAGGCTCCGAACCAAGGATAGGCTTGGCTTCCTTGATATCGACCTTACTTGTGCCTTTTGTGGGGAAGCTTCCGAGACCAAGGATCATCTATTTTTCACTTGCCCCCTTTCGGCTCAAGTTTGGGTTGGCATCCGACATTGGCTAGGATTGAGGAGACAACTCTCCACACTAAAGAGTGCATTGAAATGGATTAGGAAGGAATCCCAAGGCTCGGTTGGAGAATAAAAACAAGGAAGGCCGGGCTCGCGGCAACGGTGGACTTTCTTTAAAATGCTCGGAATAAGAAGATAAAATGAAGTGCAATCTCCGGAGCTCATTATTCGGAAGATTCAAACCCATGTCTATAGGACTATATTTGCTTTGTACCCAAATGTCCTTGCCAAAATGGAGAGAAAAGCCCTCGGAAATTGCTAGGCGAAGTCTCCTTAAGGTACGTATAGTATGATTAGATGTATAATCATTTTGATTAGGGTTTCATTTGATTAAGGGAGCTGAGCAACCGACATGTGGTTTGCCTCTCATTATTTTGATTAGCGAGTAAGGAGCCGAGATTGTGGCCGCTCACTTTGCTTTTGTATGCCATGTGACGGTCGGTGTAACATCAATTTTGATCTATAAAATTTATTTTACTGATCAAAAAAAAGAAAAAAACTTAGTTTACTTGGTTGTTAGAAGTTTAAAGTAAAAATTGAAAAAAAAAAATTATGTGCCCAATAGTACAAGAAACTTAAGATAAACGCGTTCGTGATGTTATCACGGCTTATAAAAATAGATCTACAATAAGCCAAAAAAAATTATTTTTAATAGATTTTCATTAAAATATTGTAACTACAATTTTAACATTAAATATTGAATAAATATGAGAACTTTTTAGTCTACATAATTTTTTTACAGAACTCCTCCATCTTTTATAATAGCATATAGTAGATAAATTAGATATATGATATATTCTTATAGCAATAAAAAATATATAATAAAACTTTATTTTTCTATTTTCTAGTATTAATAGGAGATATTCAAAGAATTTTCTCATTAATTATTATCATTTTTTTTTTGTTCTAAAACCAACATTTATAATTTTATTCAAATCACATTTATCCACTACTTTCAAATGGTTCCTCACTCTTTCAAACAAAATGCGCATAGATATGTTCTCTAGCTAGAAAAAAAATAAATAAAAAAAAAATAACTTGAATTAATTTTCCTATTGCTATTCGATTAGGATATTTAATTATTGAAATTATCCTTAAAGTCTTATATCATTACGATACTTAATTGTATTTATATTTTTGCCATTAAAAATGTATTAAGGATATTTTATTCATGCATTTTTCTACAAAATCATGCCTCTTTTTATAATAATAAAATATGATTTAAATGCAAAAAATATTTAACAAAAAAGACAACCACATATCTTTTGATATTAGTGCATTTTTTAGGGAACTTATAGTAATTTAATCTATTCTATATATATTAAGGGTTTTGCAATAATATAATATTTAACATGGTTCTTTGTTTAATTATAATATTTGTACTTAGAAGTACTAATTATATTATTAAGCCTGAGAGTAGGTTTTGATTATTACAATGCAAATGTTTATTTTTCTTCAATATTTTGAACTACTTGATTAGTTGAGTTATTTATCTTTTTTCTTTTAAATATTTTGAGCTACTTAATTTTGAGCTATTTTAAACTTCTGTGAGACAACACTTTTGTAACTTTTTCCTATACAACACAAAATATTGTAGGAATATCATGTGTTTTAAATACATATTTTGTTCGTTAATTAGCACTAATAACTTAGTTTAGTTGATTCTTAGAAATTTAAAGTAAAAATCGGAAAGGGATTTTATGTGTTCGTGATGTTATCACCGCTTATAAAATTAGATTCTACAATAAGCAGAAAAAATATTAGTTTTCCGTTAAATATTGTAACTACAATTTCACCATTAAATATTTAATAAATATATGAACTTATTAGTCCACATATTTTTCTTTCACAAAACTACTACTCCTTTTATAATAGCATATAGTATTTATAAAGTAGATATATGATTTATTCTTACATTGTCTCGAATAAAATTATTCAAATAAAATCTATTTAATCAAATAATAAAAAAAGTAAACACAAAAATGATATAAAGGGGCATAATAATCTAAAAAGAGAAGTGGAAAGAAACTAAATCATGTTCAAATATATAATTCATTTAGTTAATGTAAAACAAATTTAACTTATTTTGGGGCCAAAATAAGATTAATATTGGACTAATCTAATATAACATGAACTAAAATATTTTTTTATCAATATAAAATTAATAAAGACGAACAATTAAGATCGGGCTGGAGCCCACCCAGCTTTTGGGATGGCTCCACCC